TGTTTTCACACATCAAGATATTTTGATTTTTATGTGGCATTTGTCAGCTTTTGTTCTCGAACGAAATTGTTTTTTAATTTATATATAAGCCGCGTAATGACTGGATTCACTGATATGACACTGTAAGTGATTTTTCATAACTACGCCGTAACCTTTTTCTTCAGTGACTTTTAATTTGGTAAGTCTTTTACCTGATAGCTGATCGTTTCTGTGATCTGTGTGCCCACAGTGTCTCATCCTGACTAAAGTTCACGAGAATGTCCTCCGCTCACAACAACCACATCGCTCACAACAACCACATTCAGTTTATGGCGTAAATTGTCTCAGTGTGGTAAAATTATAACTCTGACTTCATGTCCACTGGGTTGGTGGTGGTGGTCTGAGATGGTGCAACCTGCTCCCCTTCCCCCACAGGTCCCTGGGAGGAAAAACTGTCCTGGACGTCCTCATCGTCTCTCTTACCACCCACTTCGTCATTGTGTGTTCCCTATACAAAATATTCAAAGGCATTCATTATCATTTAAATTAAATCTTTAAAAAAAATCCTTTTGATTTATTTTATCTTTTTCAAATCAAAAATCTGGGACAATAATGTACTTAATGAAAATACCTGGGTTCTGTTACAACTACATTTGTGGACATTGAAATTCTGCAGTGTTGTGGAAATATTGTATTGAACTAATTCATAACAAAGAGTGACAACATGCAGCCTGGCACTAATTTTACATATACAATATGAAATAACAGTGACTTAATTAATACATTTAAATATGAGTAAAACTGTCCAAAATCCACTTTGGTGGATCAAAGTGGTAAAACCATGAAAAACACATCATCATAGACAAAATCTCTGTAAAAAAAATCAACACATTTTATTTGATACACACCACTATAAATAAGTAGTAGGCCTATAAGAATATGTAGAAGACATGCTATATGAATATGCTTCGATATAAAAGGGTAAAAAAGCTAAAAAAAAACTAAAGCCACCACAACTGCCTCCCAGACCGTCATGTGTATTTACATTGTTAAGGTTTACAAGCAGCTCTTGAAGTGGAAAAAATAAGTGTTAGTACTTCTTCTTCATATAATGTCGTGTCGGGACGCATCTATGGCACACACCTGCATCTGGAGATGGTGTGTGTGCTCTCATGTCAAGAGCCACTGTCACTGTTTGCTCTGAGGTTTATTGGATTGTTATTTTTTGTTATTGTTTATTATCAACAGCCAGAGGTTGTTTTTTGTTTACAATCGTTCCACCTAGATCTGACCTAGCCTACAAGTTCTCACAGAGACCGGTGTGGCGTGTACTGGACTAAACAGTCGCCGGCAGTACAGTTGAAATTTATTAAGCTGTATTATAATTCTTTATTCATTATAAATGAGTGTGATTTTAGATGTTGCTTACTGTTTATAGCCTACAAGCTGACTATTTACAAAATCAAGGTCTAGTTTGTACTCACAAAATAGTACAAACTATATATACTAAATAGCACAAAAGTTTGCGAAGTGGCTGCGTCATGAGTGGACATGCTGACAGATGTGCCAGCCGACAGTGACTTTCCTTATTACTAAATCATCAGCTGCCCCCTTGCTAAGGTCCTGAGAAAGTGATTCTTGCTCTTTCTCCAGAGCCGCATATAAAAATGTAGGCCTAATGTTAAATGAAAACAATAAGTAGACGCAAAATAGAAACATTTTAATAATTCCTATGGCCACAGCTGGCCACAGCGGTCTATATGACCGCTTTGGCGGTCCAAGGAATAAATGCTCAGAAATCTTTTGTTTTTTATTTTAATATCTTCTAGGCTTCAGAAAACATCAAAAACATATATTTAGGGAAAGTCATGGAGTGAGAGACCTGTAGTTTTTATTTTAAAAAAGTTGTTTACATAATAAAATCTCAAACGGTCCATTAGACCGTCTTGGCGGTTCTAGTGTTAACTGAATGACTTGAACATTACGATTAACTGTCAACACCAATTTTCCGTGACATGGACATGGACAGTGTAAAGCAGGGGTATTCAATTAAAATTCAGAGAGGTCCAGTTACAAAAATGTCCTCCCAGCAAAGGTCCGAATCTTATATTGTCACTCGAAATAGTGTACCCTGATGTAAATAAAAAACAACATACGTACTTTTCTATATCATTTATTGTCAAATTTCAAGTGTTTGCAATATACTTTAAACATACCGATAAGTCTGAACTTGTATGGCACTTGAATGGAAAACATTACTGTAGTTGTCTTTACTACATTTCAAGTAACTGAATTTCTTCTGAATAAAATAAATAAAAAGTGCAAACACAGCTTTGAGCAGCCTGAACTTAGGGTAATGTAAAAACATTCAGAATCTTTTGAATAAAATAAAAGTGCATCTTTAAGAAAAAATGTAAACAAAAGACCTTTGAGCTGCCCACCCCCTTTTTTACACATGTATTAACTACATTTAAAATAAAATAACACAGGAACCTTAATGCCTACATTTCAAGTAAATTAGAACAAGGCAGAATTTACTGAATAAAAGAAAAGTGCAGAGCTTTGAGCAGCTCCCTTTCTCCTCTCTCCTCTCCTTCCTCCTTTTCCAACTTCCTTTCCTAGTGAGAGAAATGGGCATGTAACTTTCCTGCCAGCAGTTTGAATCTTGGCTTAAATGGGGTTAGTGCCATTCTCATGCTCATGTGGAGATGCTCATTGGTAAGCCTGGAACGGTACTTTGTTTTGATAATGTTCATCATAGAGAAAGCTGTCTCACAGCTGTAAGTTGATCCAAACATGTTTAAGGTGTGTAGTGCTACTTTGGTTAGACCAGGGAAAATGGTTTCAGGCACAATCTGTAACCAGAAAGTAGCAGAGTCAGTTGTTTCAAAATGCTCTCTCAGAGCAACATCTGCTTGCAGATCAGTGAGCTCTAACTGTAAAGATCCAGGATGTGCCCACTTGAAGGTCTGTGTCACCTTTGAAAATCCTCTGATTTGGATTCTCGATTAGCAGGCGGAGCTGGTGTCCAAGATTGAAGCTGTCAAATCGATGACAGAAGTTTCCAATCAGCTTGTTTATGAAGCTGACATAAGGGGAAATGTTTCTCTTACCCTGAATTTGTGGGGTGTGGGAATTTGTGTTGCATTTGTGGGAAGTGCTCACATTCTCCTTGGAGATCTTCTTTGAAAATGTCCAGCTTCATCTGGAAGGAGCGGACAGTTTTCATCAAATCACAGACAGAATTTGTCTGACCCTGCAGCTTTAAATTGAGCTTATTAAGGTGTCCTGTGATGTCCACCAAAAAAGCCACCACATCCATCTTGTTATCTTGCAAAAAGTTTGCAAACTGTGTTGCTTTTTGTCTCTTGAGCTGCTGTAAGAAAGCAGCTATTTCCTTTCTGATGGACCAGAAGCGTCCCAGTGCATTCCCTTTGCTTAGCCATCTCACATTGTTGTGGAGTAGTAGGTAATTTGCATCTGCCTCCATTTCTTTCAGAAATTCTATCAGCAGTCGATGCTGATGGGATGAGGATGCCCTGAGGAAGTTGATGAGTCTCATCATGGTATTCATTACTTCAGCAAACTCTTCAGAAAGAATGGCACAGAGAACAGTCTGATGGATGATACAGTGGTAGGCTATGAAATCAGGGTTGTCTTGTTTCATCCATGCCACAGCCCCCTTCTCTCTACCAACCATGGCAGGTGCACCATCCGTGGTGACTGAGACTACTTGCTTCAGACGCCAATTCGGCAGTGAGGAAAATCATTGGAAAGTGTGGCTTCTGCAGGCCCTACTGTGCAAAGGTGGGAGAACAGAAAATGTCAGATTTGCCCAAAGAACGGCTACTTCCTGACTTACCTCCCTTCACGAACGTTGGGGTTGACTACTTTGGGCCGTTTGAAGTCAAGAGAGGCCGAAGTATGTGCAAGCGCTATGGGGTAATTTTCACCTGTTTCTCAAGCCAAGCTGTACACTCAGTGATGTTGCTAGGTACGCGTCCTGCGTCCCTGACGCATTAAAATCTGAAAGGACACAGTAAACTCACTATCCATGCGTCCCAGGGACGCAACTCATTTTTCCCATGAAAAACGATACATTTTGAACAACATCTCGTGTTTAAAATCACAGTAACTAGTAAAAGTAACTTCGCTGTCAGCAGACCAGGCAAGCGCTGTTTCAACCCTCTGCGCATATACTCTGCGCAGACGTGATCACCTGTGCACAGTATTGCGACATGCTAGTTTAGCCACTACCAAAACAATTAGCCAGTCACCGCGGATTTCATTTCAACAATTAAAGATACGAACTTCATAGTAGTATATATGTACGGTATACATATATACATATGCTCTAGACTTGTTCACATTAAGCTGCTTACAATACACCACAAACATATCTACATCACAGTACGGCCCGCGAATGAGTCAGGTGTGTGTGTTTGCTACCGGCAGCATACAAGTTTTTGACTGTCATCACGTAGTCGCGTTTTCACATTGTTGTTTTGCATCGTCTTTGGAAATTGATATTTTATGGAACGTTCAGGTTTATGTGGCACTCGTGGAATAATAAATGCACGCTTTGTAAGTACAACGAACTTGTGGGATCTTTTATTCGTGTGGAGTATGACGCGTCCACTTGGTGTAAAGCCGGTTGCAGCCACCTCAATGGTTTGTAGACACTTTTTTTGGATCCTGGAGTCAAGCCATACAGTACTTCTGTCAGAATTTTGCTTTGTAAAGTTATGTGTTTGTAATCAACCCACTACTATAGGTTCCAAATGACTAGAATGCATTATCCTGACAGAAAGATGTCTGTGTTATGTGTTACAGGAAAAAGAAGACCCCAATTCCTACTTGAAGAAACGCCCTCTCTCCTGCCCAGTCCTGATTGTCAGTCCGTCCAACTGCCTCCTAGCAGTAGGAGATGTGCCAATAACCACCTTTCCAAAAGACAACCTTACCGAGAGTGCTTTATACCTTATGGCCTACTATTGTGCCCTACACCTGACTTATCCAAAGTGTGTAGCCACTCTGCTTTCAGTCATACAGACGGAGGTCCTCTTAGACAAAATCCATGAGAAAGATCTCACATTGTCTTACAAGAAGAGCATGGCTGAGTGGAAAGCTTCTATTGGCCAATAAAACCAGTGGTCAGATATGGTGTAGGATAGCACTTCCTCTCTCCTTCCAAGGGTACTACAGTCCATGTTCATTTTTCACTTTTCAGTTAATATTAATAATTAAACTGTCTGTTCTGCAGATGCAGTCACTAATTTTAATTTTGATTTTGTATGTGTATTGAAGGGCACATTGGTCAGATGTTTGGACCTGACCTTAACTCACTCACATATTTGGCATGTTCTGTATTACTGTATTACATGTACAGTATTACTTTTGTAGAGTTTACAATAAGGTAAATGCACTTGAGATGATGACAGGATGGTAAATTATGGCTTATTACGGCAAAAGAGCACTGCCTAATACGAGTCAGGAATGCTAACTTCA